ATATATCAAACCCGACACACACCTCTTGACACTAAGCCTTATGCAAGCTTTAAGAACATGTAATTGAGCCATCATTTTCCCCCTGTCCATCTCTACAGTGTATTTTTGAGGGGGGAGAAACTTAGCGCCTCAAATACAATAAGCACATGGTTTTCCTCCTCTATTATGCCGTTCTTTAATCCTAAAATTTGTATGGAAGCACAAGTCTATTATGCACTGAAGCAAATCCACCCAAGACCCCTCTTTCTCTTTGGGGTCAAAGGTCAAGATGAAATACTCGGCATGGGGCATATTTGATCCAGCTGTCTAAGGCTTATTACTGCATGAAATGATGTTTCTGCCTCACAAGCCATTTTACTCCTTTGACCAGGTTTACAGTAGGATTTAATAAACACACATAAACTGCAAATGGAGGAATAAATTGAGCTGTAGGCTATATGTGGAAGCAGCGGTTATAGTATGGATATTGTAGTGTTGCATACGGCGAATAGGCGAGTACATCGCATGTTTGTTGAGCGTGATCAAAGATCACAAACAACTGTGAAAAACAGCCCTGATGGATAGCTAAATATGACCTTTGAAATGAAAAGATGCTTTGAACTCGGCTGTCCCATGCAGTGCCTTTTTCTCAATCAACTGAACATGTATATTTGAATAATTGAACAATTGAATTGCAAAGTTCCATTAAATTTGTGGATTATTTTTGATAGAAGACTATTTAGGTAACTGATGCAGTACGTTATCTTCTGTTCTTCTCTATTCGCCAGCGTGACGAGTTACCTGACACGCCTCCTGCCATGTAGACAGCCAGCATCACCCCTAGAGTAAAGCCAAAGTGGATGGTGAGATCTTCTCCTTGTGTGCCTCTGCTCAGGACCTTTTGGGCCACTGAACCACAACCGAACAGCTGTAAACAGGAAATGGGCAGAGAGAAGACAATTTAGGAAGACAATTAGTGGAAAAAGCTATACCACCATGCAGATAAGAAAAGCACTCTCTTGTTTGTGGAGCACTTATTCAAAACTAATTAGTATAGCAGCTTGTTCAAAAAGCTCAGTCCATTATGGTCAAGGGCGGCACCCCAAAGTAACTAAATCTGTCATGTTGAATCAAAATCTTTTCACTTAATTAACAACAGTAGAACAAGTCGGTGTATTTCATGTTTTAATAGCTAAATTTAAAAAATATATTATAAGTAAAAGAAGTTTCATGATATTAGTCATCAAATCATCAGATTGTCATTTCTGTAGTAAAATGTATTTCTTTTTAAAGTAATACTGCATGGGGCATGTTGTTAGTCTATATGGGATAAGTTGTCAAACCTGACATGACAAAATTTCAACAGTTAAACAATTATGAAACACAAACACACACACAAATAAAAAGATAACATTTATTAAACATGACAGCTTGTTACAGCATCTTTCAGACTTAACTTTACAGTTAAAAAAAATACCTTTATTTTATTTTCGACACTGTATTTTATTTTTATTATTATGATTTTTTTTTATTCTAAATTGTTTTAATTATTCTGACTTCTTTAATTTCTTCCATGTAAAGCACTTTGAATTGGCACTGTGTATGAAATGTGCTATATAAATAAACTTGCCTTTATAATATATAGCAATAATAATAAACCCATTATTATTGGAACTTTATTTTGGGAAACAGAATTGCCAAAAATGTGTTGGCACAAATTGTCAACTTTTAAAGGGTTTTGAACGAGGTGTTAAAAAACTAACATACAAAACCACTGCCAGAGAAAATGAGTGTTTGTCTACTTGGACTTTTTACACAAATCCTTATACAATAGTTACTGAAATCAAGTCCTTGACAACTTAAATGAAAGCCATATCCCATTAAATAGCCATTATAATTGATCAATAAGAAGCATAAAATAAGAAGACAGTGTTTAGGCTACATCACTCAATTGAAATGAATAAATACGTTGATAGACTGATACATTATTAAACTAAAAAAAATGTACATTACACTTGAAATATTCATTATGATGATTCATTACTGTAATCAAACTGTGTTGTTAATCTCAGTTCACAAGTTCTGACAGGAAAAAAGACTTACTATTAATACGAATGTCCCCAGTAATTCTGCCAGAAACTCTCTTATGATGTCCCGCCTCAACATGCATTTGCCCCTCAATTTTCTCATCTTTTCGAGCTCCATAGTTTCCCCGCCAGTGAGATGTGATGTCCGGACAGACAGTTGAAGAGCTGAGCCCGCTGGAGTTTGAGTGTCTTAGGCTTTAACCTTCCCCGCCCCTCCTGCTGCTACTTAGATGTCATTAAACACTCTGACATGACAGGTTGGTTGTTCCTCTTTGCTCTCACTCTATCCATCCTCCTCGTGCTGAGACAAATACGAGTTCGGTCAAGAAAATATCATTAGCTACGTAACTTATTTGTTCAACTATCGTTTGCGAACTTTTGCGAAGAGACGATCGAGTTCTCTGAGAAATCAGTAGACCGAGGTTCAATAATCTTTGTTTACGGGGTGTAAAAAAATCACACATTTATAGATTTTTAATTATAATTATTAACAAGTTAGAGTTAACCGAAGCTACACTACATTTAAGTTCAATAAAGTGACGCTGATTTTTTTTCTGTGAAAAAAAAAAAAATCCCAGTATGGTAACACTTTACAATAACGTTAATTAGTTAACAATAGCAAATGCATTAACTAACATGAACTAACGATGAGGAATGCATTAGTTACAGTGTTTATTAATCTTTGTTAATGTTAGTTAATACAAATAGCCTACAGCTGTTCATTGTGCGTTCATTCACAGTTCATTAACTAATGTTAACTAATACAACCTACCTTAGCTTTAACAAAAAAAGTAGGCTAAGTGTAAAAAGGACTGAGAAAAAAAGATGCAATAGCCTATTTTATTGCTTTCTTTTGATGTCGACGTAATAGGCTATGTATGTTGGCTATGTAGCCTATTTACAAGCAAACGTATATTTTTAAATTATTATCATTATAGCCTAGTCATTTATTTGTCAATGATCTACAGCACAAGCCGTTTGTGAACTGAAAAACACATCCACAAAAAACGACAAAAACTAGGTATTTGTTTTAATTCAGTCTCTAAATATTAGTGTTTTGCATAGCCTACTTGTTATTCATTGCGCTGTATTATTCATGCAGCGCATCGTCAACTTGTAATGCATATATTTGTCCACGTGGTGGAGCTGTTTGACAAAGTAAAAACAATGATGGCCATAGTTCGGCGGTGGCGTCCCATGGCTGTGGTGTGAACCGAAGAAGCGATAGGATGGTAGCGGTATGTTTTGTTTGCATTAATCACTGTCACTTGTTCTGGGGTGTCGTCTTTGATGTGAGGCAGACACTGTCAGTGCTGCGAAATGAGGGGGATGTGCTGATGGAGAAAAAGCACCCCAGTGGGTTCTAACAAATTATAACACCCCGTCCCCTTCATCACAGCACTCAGTACCTTAGCATGTCACACATGATAACTATCACGCAGGCTGGCCATTAAAAAAAACTAAAATAAAAAATAAATAAATAAAATAAGTTAGATAGTAGGCTAGGCTGGGCTGGGCTGTAGTGGGCTCTTTAAGTGTAGATGACATAACACTTTAACCTATTGGATTTTTGGATTGCAAGTCTTGCCTTTGCAAGCTATCACACAGAAAGACCTAAATGTTTGTTTTAAGTCCATAAGAACGGAATTTACTAAAGGCAGTTCGATATTTTCTTAATATTCATAATTCCTTAAGTTGATAGCAGGACAGAGTGTGAGAGCAAGAACATGTTTTATAACAGGGAGGGTTAAAATTATTAGGCCTATGGTTTTATAAACAATAGGCTGTTATGTAGGATTTTACTTGAATTTGTGTTTGGCTATCAACTGAAGATAGTAGAGTTATAAACGCCCCACAACATCCAAGATTTCTTCGACTAGAAACCATGTAGGCTAAGTGTGAAGGCGATTATTTGTTTTATTTATCTGCGACATAGGCCTAATCGTAGATGTTTTTGTCGCGATCAAGTGTCGTGTTTTCAAGAGCTTCCTTATCCAGCAGTTACATGTGTAAGTGTGAATGTCTGTGTTGGCTAATCCTTTAAACCACAAACTCTTCAAGAGTGTTAATAGCCTTTTAAGATACTCTAATGTTTATTGGACAGTCTGGGGTAAACGCTATCAGAGTCCAGGCGCTGCAGGAGGGACGACGAGGAAATAACTTGTGATCGCTTGATGTAGATAGTTCAATAAAATTCTCACAGGATAGATATGTTATAGGAGAATCTGTGAGAATCAAAGGGGCAAACAGCCCTTGCCAAAGAAAACGTTAACGCTCACGTGACAGTTTGATAACCCTAATGGAGAGAAACATTGGCTGTAACCTTTATTTAATAGCATATTGTATTATTGTTAATTTCAACAAGCAGTCAAGGAAGTCTGCAAAATGCATTGATACTCTAGATTGAAAAGAAGAATTGATTTAGTGGTCTACTAGTGTATCCTAATTTCAGTCCAGACTAAGAGTTTAATAACTAACTTTTACGCAGCGTACGGGAAGTGTGGCATTTTTAACCAAGAAAACTTTTTATTTTTGATTTGATTTGATAAAAAATGGTCTCTTGCATTTTTAAACAAGAAAACTTGGTGATGAAAAAAATCATGTTTTGATTAAAAAAAAAAAAGTTTAATTGAAAAACATCTTAAAATAGCCTTTAAGCTTATACGGTCATATTAGCCTAAATAAATGAATTGTTAAATGGACTATAATTGTGTAACTAATATTCCCCTTGAAAACGAGTCTGTTCTGTTGGCTAAATAATTCAATAACAGACTATTTTAACAAATCATTTAGATTTTTACCACACTAAACATTTTTACAGCGCAGCCTGTCAGCTGAATTTCTTTCTGATAAATACTTATAGGCTACTTCTCCATAGCGTTGTCTTGAGAGTGGGTGGTATCTTTCACTCCGTATGGTCAGAGAGGGAGAGAGAGAAGTTTATGTAAATGCTCCATTTTAATTATATTAGGAGGACGGCCCTATTCTCTGCCCAATAAAAATGGACCAGGGCTGACACCTGGTTATAAACACAGAAAGGATTCCAAAGTAGTAATCGCAAATCGGCAGGAAAAAACCCAAACGGCATCTTCAAGAGACGCAATGACCTCCAGCAAAGTTGAACTGCCAGGAGAGGTGAAGAACGACCCGGCTGCGCTCATGGCATCTCTTCATCTGGTGCCCTCACCGATACCCAATCCTGAGATCAAGTACACCAAGGTCTGTGAGACTTTTTATAACTACTTTGAGAAAGATCAAATTGCCTAAACGGTAAATGCAAACTTCGATTAGCCTACACCAGGCACGTTGAATTTGTTGTGCCTGCGCGCAAACAAATCACTGGTCAAGAAACGCAACTTGAGCCTATTGCAAACATTGATATCAGATCATATTCATTTTCAGATAATCGATTCATAAGTAGTAGCCTACGGTCCATGATGGTAATTACGCATGCTTTTGGTAACAAGTAGAAAGTTTTGGTTATGGTAGGCTAAATGGATGGAGTATTTAAGAACGCAGTCTAGTTATTTGCACATAATATAACGATTTATTCTAATCTAATAAACGGTTGTTGTTTTCGTGTCCGGAGTAGGATAAAGTGTGTGAAAGTCCAGATATTAAATTATCCTTGAGGTGCATCGATCAATAAAGTTTTCTCGATCTTGATAATTTGCTGTCCATTGAAATTTTATAATCTAATTTTAAGAAGTTTAGCCTCGAACAGGTTGTCTTTATGACTTTAGTTTCAATACGGTGCGCGTTAGAGATCCGCCTCTCTCAAACTCATTCTGTCGTAGACAACAGAACTCATTCTGTACAAAAAAAAAAAAAAAAAAAAAAAAAACATAATGCTTATTACTGTGACCACAATAACTTTTACCAAACCTCATTGACACTATTTGCAACCTGTATAAGTTCCAATAAGGACCAAATATCAAATGCATGTGCTCAGGAATACAACCCAGAAGATTTAAAACACAAACACTTGACGGCATAATTTTGGACTTTTTCCAGTTGTAAAAATAATTCAGTGCCCTACTGTTATGTTATTTTGATGTAGTCGTTCCATATTATCCTCTTTGAAAATGACAAAGAAAAGCTGAATCATTGCACAAAATGGTTGTAAAATATAATCTCTCTTCTTTTGTTTGGTTAGGTCATAAGTTTTGAGTGTAATAATTTTATTGCTGTGAGGTGAGAGGATAAAGTCAAAGTGCAGTGCAGGAAAATTATCACTATGGTAATGAGAGTAAAGTACAGCCAGTGCAAGAGCTGGAGACACCTGTGACACACACACACACCCTACAGCCTCCTGCTCCTCGTCCTGCTCTCTCATCTCATCAGACCTTGTTTCAGAAGCAGATGGGAGTGTGAGAAGATTCATCCTTAGGAATTTGAATTATCCGGTGTGTGCTGTTTATACGGGTGTGTGTGTGGGGGGGGGCATTGGTGATGTGAACTCCCTTCACACCATTCTCCATCTCTCTCTCTCTCTCTCTATCTTCCCACCCCCTCTCAATTTGGATTTTGTTGCGCCTGGTGCAGGGCAGCACTGGATCTGATGTAACAAAACAAATATGCTGAATCAATGCTGTTCTTTCTAATGTAGTCTGTGCAGCACCAAGTTTTTTATTATTTGTAAGTCTAAGGTTAAAACTCCTGAGACTTAAGTTGTGTTTTCTGCACTGTTAATGTGCAGTGCTTTATGCCATGAGACGCTGAGTTATGGAAATATCATTCATGGTCATACTTAACATCCCACTCCTCTCTCAGTCAACCACTTATGTAAATCCCAATTATGTAAATATGCGATTCAGCACACTTGCGTACTGAATTACATCCAGCTCTGGCATTTAAAGTAAAATAATTAATATCAAGCATGGGAGAAGTACTGGCAAATGTTTCAGTCGGGCAATGCATTACAAAACATATTTTATAGCAATTACTGGTTTGTTTGCAAGCATGTGGTTAAACAGAATGCCAGTAACATTTTTATTATAATAATGAATATATTGTGCATAATTAATTATTTGGTCCCACTTTATATTAATTGTATTTACCTATGTATTAACAATTAAATGAATCATTTGATAAAGTACTCTTATACATGTTTTTTACATTGTACTTATATTTAAAAAAATACCTGCATGTAATTACAGATAAGATTAATTTAATTTATGTAATATCATTTATACTTACACTATTCTCCCTTCTCTTAAGGTGATGATACACAGGGCAACTTTTTGAGCAATGTTGCTGGGCAATCTTGCCGAGCTGTTGTTGCTTGGGCACTTTCCCATTGAAAATCGGCAATACATTTCAATCTGGATAATTCAGATCGGTCGTGTGTCTCATCAATATAATTTTGCAATGCAACATGAACATAATGAGTACATTGTACCTAACAGTACTTTTTTTTTATTATTATTTCATAGTATTTAAAGACACCTAATATTTAATGTATAACCATTTATTTTAATTATTTTATTTATTGGAAGTCTTATTCATAAGATTAACACTTAATACAACAAGTGCTGCAGTTTTTATTTAGTTTCTCATGGTAAATACAAAAACCTGAATAGTTAAAATTGTTTCTTTTATTGTAAAATTGCTACAACCTGTACTTTGAGCTCCCCAGTAAACTTTTCACCTCACCAATTGCATTTGTTATGTGACAGTCACTACACCTGCACCAGTGTGTATTTGTTATAGACTCGAGATTAAACACACCGATAGGGAACTTATCTTCCCTCTGCCCTGTCATTGAACATTTACAGATATTTCTTGTTGTTTTTGTGTAGACACCTGAGCTCTATTACAGTATTACAGAATCTCTTCCTCACTCCACACAGCGACCATAGTCCAGTATGTTTGACTGGTCACGGAAGAGCTGGTCTGCTGATGGAGCTCTCTCTCTCTCTCTCTCTCTTTCTCTGTCTGCTGGCCCACTGGGCTGATAATGGCACTAAGGAAGCCATAAATTTGTCTTTGGTGATGGCTGGTTATGGATGTTTTCTCTTCGTTTTTTCTCTTTGGTTGGAAGAGCGAAAAGGAAAGGAAAGGTTATGTTGATAGGTGTGTGTATCAGTGTAATTGATTGGGACCCAAGAGCCTTTTTGAAAGAGAGGTGTTGGATTCCAGCAGGCAACGTGATGATGTGCTCACACCATTCAGTTATAACACATAAGTGAAGCAGACTCTGGAGATTAAAACCTGGAAGAAGAAAGGAAACAGGAGACAGACTATTACTCTCTCACTTTCCCCTGTGCCTGCAATTGATAATTGCATATTTGTATTAAATGTGGTTTCAGTTAGTGGTATTTATCAGCGATATGATATTAAATAAAAATGTATGGGCAGGCTATATGATCTTTGCATATAATTTGGGGTTTTGAATGTGGTTTCATTTTAAATTGTATAGTTCACCCCAAAATTTTCATTCTGTCATCATTTACTCATCCTCATGTCGTCCCAAACATGCATGACTTTATTTTTTTTTTTCTGTGGAAAACAAAAGAATCATTTGAAAGAACGTTTTCAAGATAAAAATATTTTTTGTCAACACAGAATAAAAAGTCAGTGGGGTCCAAAAAATATCTAGATTTTTCTCTATATCTTGGTAAAACAGGAGTGAGTAAATGATGGAGGAATTTTTCTTTCTAGGAAATAAGTGTGTGTGTGTGTGTGTGTGTCTATACTGAGAGTTTCATGGAGAAAGAGACACTTGATAGCCATTTGTTGGACATGTCTTTATATTGTAAGGGCTTAAGCGTCCAGCCAGGACAGTAGTGTGCGCTGAAGTGAGGACTTTTGTAAGCTAATCTGGGAGACAGCTTGAGTGAATGAGGTAGGCCCCATCAATCCGTCAGTGCGTGAGATAGTACAGATGGGAGTCAGGGGGGTTTTCTGCTCTAGAAGCTGTCCAGCAGGGTGTAATATATGGCCGTGTCTCACTGTTAGGGTCAGTGGCCCTGACTTACGAGAGTCTGTCCCATACCTCTGGAGTTTTTCACTTCAAAACCCACCATTTCTTCACATCAAACAGCGGCCAAAGTAGAGCATACACTGAGAAGCTTGATTTATTGTAAGCGGCACAGTGAGGACTCTCTCTCACACACCCTCTTTTGCTTTGACTTATAATTTCCCCCCTTTCTTACTCTTGATCTTTTCTTCACATCTTCCTCATTGATTATCTTTGGCCTTTGGACTGTTTTTCTCCCTTCTCAGGACCAAAAAGCTCGATTTGTCTCCGTATTATTAGCAATATCATGCATGGTCTTGCGTTAAGCACAAGTACGCAAACAAATATATTTTATTGAGAACTCTTTTCAAAATTCTTCAAACTATCTGCTTTTGTGTTCCATAGAATAAAGAAATGTTTTATGTTTGGAAGGACATGAGGATATTTATGAACGATGACAAAATTTTAGGTGAGCTATCCTATAAACACGGTTAATCACAACTAAACAAATATCAACATTTTTATGCACATGCATAATGTTAATTAATATACCAAATAAATAGAGTACATTTTTTCTAAATAAATATAATACACTATTGTTCATCGTTAATTCATTTGTTAATTTAACTTTTAAGACATTTTAAAATGTATATGTACATGTTACATGTATATGTAATTAACCAAGATTAATAATTAAAATTCTAAAATATTGTTGAAATCATGGTACCTAATACATTAACTATAATGTTAAAACTTTACAATAATGTTCAATGTATTATCACGTTATATATTCTTTTAGTATGTAATGCCAAGCTTGATAGTAGTGGTGTCCCTGTGAAACTGTACAATATAGACTGTTTTTCACAATCTCACTTGTGGTAATTTCAATAAATGAGAGAGAGAGAGAGAGAGAGAGAGAGAGAGAGAGCAGCCTCAGTCTGTCTTAAAGGAATAGTTCACTTAAAAATGAAAATTCTGTCATCATTTACTCCCCCTCAAGTTGTTTCAAACCTGTATGAATTTCTTTCTTCTCCTGAACACAAAAGAAGATATTTTGCAGAATGTCAGCAATCAGACAGTTCAGTTGACTTTCATAGAAGGGAGAAATTAATACAGGTTTGAAACAACTTTCAACTGAGGGTGAGTAAATGACGACAGAATTTTCATTCATTTTAAAGTGAACTATTACATTAAGCTCCTTCGTCTCCTGAAGAGAAATTCAACGTAAGGTATGTTTTGCATGCTAGAACCAGCATGGGATACTGGTTGATAGTTTGCTGGGAGTTACACCAGCTCAGTTGGACCAACATAAAACATGTTGCTTTATGTTGGATTTTTCAGCAGGGGTAACATCAGTAATTATCAACATCTTGAAGTGTGTCCAGTTCCAGAGTGAAAGTGAGCTGCTCTGGAAAGGATATGAAACTTCCTGTGTAGACCGAGACCCGGGCTGCAGGTGCCCTGTTAGAATCCGTCTGGCTCTGGAATCCCGGCCTGTTCCATGAAAACAAAGATAAAGTACACATGTAAAAAAAGAATCTTTTTACAATGGCTAAGAAATGTTTGCCTTTAAATATCCCTCATGTGTCTGAGCCATTAGAAGGTGCTGGCGGCCAAACAGATGTTTCACTAGCTGTAGCGTGAGCTTTGGCATCCTCCGTCCCCGTTCCTGCTCCGCTTCCTCCTGCAGTTGTGCGAAGCCTCCAGAGAGCTTGCCTGGGCAGATGAGAAACGGATCAGTGTTCTACAACTGTTAGAGTCATTCGAATCCTCATTCGAATCCCCCCCCCCCCCCCCAGACACACACCCAAAAAAGGCTCTTCTCTAGCTGTAGCTGTAGCTCTCCAGAGGAACAAAAAGTCGACCTCCTGCTTTTGTGGACGATAACCCTTTTTCCTGTGTGAATATTGCTGGTGATAAAAATCTCAGCAATGAGGAGCATAAGCCTAGTGATGCTGTCATCGTGTGCTGTGGGTCGCTCTTCCACAATCTGTTTATGATAGGCACTGCATATCTCACCATCTAATTAGCTTTGCAGACGAGCGCAGTCAGCACCGTGAGACTGACAGCTTGAATAAAAAAACATGGAGTGATTCTAAATGTTTGCAGCTGTCTTGTGCTGTGGCCTCCACGTCATATCTCAACCTATCCGCTCTCTGCCCGCTTTCGTAACGGCCCATAGTACAATGTGTAAGCGTAGGATGAACTGGCAGCGCTTCTCTTTCTGTTTGTGTACTGCATCAAGTGGCTGTTTTGTTTACAAGATAATACATTTTCTGGCCCCCTGCTGTTGTAAACAAAATCTAGTTGTCACAGCTCGGCGGTTCGTTTTTCAGACTCAAGTTTGAAAGTTTCTTCCAGCAATCTGCCTCACACAATCTCTACTGAAAACAGTTTAAGTTAAAGTATTGGTCAAAATGTTACTCAGTTACAAAACATGCATGAGCGAAAATAGAAAGATATGAACAATTTTTTTTTAACTGAGCATATTGCACTATTGCAGTGATGCTCAAACTTATTCAAAGCTCACTTATTTGGTAGTAATTTCCAATAAAACCAGTATCCCGATACCGCTTGGAATTATTTAACTTTAAATTCAACTGCAGCTGATATTATCTGTGAATATGGTTGTTTAAATACTATTCGTTGTCCGTGTTCATACTCGAGTCAGGTTTGTTCATTGCTAGCAATGGTATAATTTATATGTTTTATGGTTTTTATTTTAAGATTTTATTAAAGACAGTGTTGTCGTCACTTCACAAGGAAAAAATGGAGCCAATACTAAAATGAAAAATAAATGTTTGAGTGTAATTTGGCTTGTTAATTCACTATAATAAACTACAAAAAGTAATTTTAACCTTTGAAAACGGAATATTTTTACTTCAGAGGTTTAAATGACATTTATAAAAAGTATAAAGCATCTCTTTTTTTGTGTTCCATTTAGTAAAGTGCAACTTCCCTGAAATAATGCTTAAGTATAGTAATGAATTACAATTACTCAAGCTCTTTAAAGCCTAGCTGAAGCCTCCAGCAGGGTTACGGCAAAGAAGCGGTGATCAATATGAATTTTTGCACTTTTGCACTTGCGTTCTTATCCCTTTTCTTTAATCAAAGCCAAAGTATAAAGAAAGCTTGAGAGTTGATTTACTGCACCGGCCTGTCGCTCTTTATCAACTTTCTCAATGGGAAGAGACAAAAGTCCGAGAGCCCCCAGAGCTCAGGGAAGACTGGGCCAAATGGCCTCTAATGGTCGCCTTTTTCTAGTCGTGATTTAGATGGTGGCCCAGTCCGCTGCTCACCCAGCATTCCCCTCTCCACCGTTCCGGGGTGCCATAAGTGTGGGGTTACGAAGAGCATAAAGCTACCCACCGTCTGCATTCTTCCCCGGCCCACTGGCCTGTCACAGTCTGCCCCTGATTTAAGGCATTCCACTACAGTGGCCTCTATAAATTTGAAAACTAATTCGCTCTTCGCTCCTCTACAGGGCTTTCTGTTTTTGTAACAGGCCCTCAGCTCGACGAGGCCACTGACACTTTTATGAAGTGCTCCAAATGAGAGTCAGATTAAAGGTGGCCCCCTTAATGCAAGAGGCCTGTGAGGAGCAGGTGGGAGAGAAAAAGGAGTCTGAAGGAAATGTATCGGAGAGGAATCAGCATGGTACAGACTGATACCTACCCTGTCCGGGAGTGATTTATTCATGCCAATTTTAGGGGAGACGCAGAGTGGGAGTGACTGGGGCAGCTTGAACCGCCTCCAAGTCAACTGGCATTTTATACCTGCTCTAAAGTAAACACGCCTCATGGTTTACAGCCAATTAAATTGTACTTAAACCTGTAAGTTTACATTAGTAAACATGTTGGTGAGTTTGAGGAGGCCCAGAGCCGCGGTTCACTTTGAACCGGACGTCTTTCCCCACGCAGATGACAGGAAGAGTGTAGAACTCAGAGCCAGCAGATGCTGTAACACCGTATCTGTCACAGGTTTGTTGAAGTCAGCAGCATAAGCATAATCTTCTTGCATAAGTCTTCAGTGCGAACTGTGCAAGCATACTTGCTTTTCATGTGTGCTGTGTCCTTTAAAAACAATTTGTGTGCATAAAGAAAAATGTATTTTTCTTTTCTTCTTTATCGAGCTTGAAAAATCCCTCTTTTGGAATCTGAGGCGGTTGTTTTACGCTTCTTTTAACGCATCACCGGAGCCAGAGTGCGGCCCGTGTTTTATGATCTCGTAAACGAGCAGTGATGTTGTGAAACGTGTGTCTGTGTGTATCTCTGTGTTTGTGTGTGCATGCTGTATGTGCACTTGTATCTGTGTGTGTTGGACGTCTGATAGGGATTTATCTCTCCTTTTCCCTTTCCCCCACCTCGTTCTGTCTGGTTGCTGGATCACTCCCAAGAGAGTGATATTGGGCAGCCCTGCAATAGCACACGGTTCCCAGAGATTCCTCTCACAGCACAACCATCAAACACACAGGGGGAGAAAGAATTTCTTTTATTTCTGTACATCATCATGAAGTTAAACTAACTCGTGTAACTTCTCATTAAAGTCTAAAAATGCACATTTTATGCATGGTGTTTGATATTATCTGCAAAAAAATGATTCTCTTGCTAACAGTTGTTTTATGGTTTGTTACATACATTTTAAACAATGGTTGACAAAGTACACACATCATGTACAGTACAAAGGAAAAGTATGTATTTTCCAGTTAAAAAAGTAAATATATACTGATCAGACAGACCAATTTGATATGCTCCATCCTATTGCTTTTAATACATACTGTATCTGAGGAGGAGAGAGGGGTACTGGACATGCAAATAGAGCTTTATAATAGAGATTATAATGACATTAGTAACTTACAACATCAGTTAAAAACTTTATGCTTTCAGTCTCTGGGGATTGTTTTGAGCCGGACATGAATAATTCAGCGAGTTACCTGGAGACTTGCTCCGATTAGTACAGTTTGTGAACAAATTTAATTGGTTCATCATAAAAAAATTAGTTTGTTTATGATTTCTTTAATTTTTTTTTAATTTTTTGTATATATATATATATATATATATATGGTGTTGTAACAGTATTGTGTTTTTGACATTTCGGTTTAGTATACGTATATCATATTTTTATTTTAGTTTGAAATAATTTAATACATCAATTTACACTGAATTAAAATGAGAAATTCTGCCTTGGTAACTAGTTAAAATAAAAATACTTTTTAAAAATAGTTTCTTTTACTCAGTTAACGTTTATTTCAATAAACTTAAATGTTTTTTTTAATGTTTTTTTTATTTAATTTAACTGTAATAACCCCAATATATTTAAAGTGCTTTGTTACTTTACACAAATGATGTTAACTTACTCTGTGTTATGACACACTTCCTCCTGTTGTGAAAACTAAACAGTATCTTTCTCTTCTCTCCCTGTAGATTTTTATTAATAACGAATGGCATGATTCTGTGAGCGGTAAGGTCTTCACAACGTACAACCCGGCTACAGGGGAGAAAATCTGTGACGTCCAGGAAGCAGATAAGGTGTGTGTGTGTGTATGTGAGCTTTCTTAGCATGCTAGTGTTTGTCATCAAAGTGTGTATTTGGTAATTGGTCAAACCGTTGCCAGAAACAGGTTTGGCACAATTGCTCTGCTGGACGACATTTAGTCGTCCAGCACCGCTATTGTGCTTCTCACTTTCAGCCTTCACTCAGCATGAATAAGTATCCAGCATTGAAAGAGAGGGAGGGGGCTGTAGTTCAGTCTAATGTGGTTAAGCAAGCTAGAGACTGTAGTTCCTCTCTGTAAATCAGGCAGAAAGTGTGGAAAACTAGAATGGATACAGGAAACAGAAACCCCCTGAACGTGCAACTGGGGAAGTCATCGAGACTCATCCGGAATGAATGGGTTTCATTTGTCCCAGAGGTGGACAAACACCTGTTTACAGGATAAGGTTATATCATTAAGTGCTCTCCACTCTCTCTCTCTCTCTCTCTCTCTCTCTCTCTCTCTGTTTGGTCCCCTCTCTTTGCCGTTCTGTTAGGCTGATGTGGACAAAGCGGTGCAGGCTGCACGTTCGGCCTTCTCTCTTGGTTCAGTATGGAGGAAGATGGATGCATCTGAACGTGGGAAGCTGTTGTTCAAACTAGCTGACCTAGTGGAAAGAGACACCGCCTACCTTGCTGTGAGTACCCAGTCCAACACTCTTGCCAGACCCAAATATTAACCCTCAAACCAAATATATCTTTAAAATACGATCCATTAAGTCTTAGAATCAGGTTCAATTCATTAACATTAGTTACTTTAATGCATTAGGTATTATGAAGATATATTGGGATGGGAACCTTTTTTGACACAAAGAGCCATTTTTACATTTTTTGTTAATTAATTTTTCCAAAAGAGCCACGGTATAAAATATCATAGCTACTATTATAAAAATAAAATTAAAAATTCAATAACGTTTAACTAATAATATCAGGGCCATAGACAACTATATACAAACAGTGTCTGTCCCATTGGTCATAAAACAGGTAGTCCCGCTCCATTAGCGGAGATCCACATTTATTTATTTTTGATTGGTTAACACATGGGACAATTTTTTTTGCTTTTTACAGAGTATAAGCTGTCACAAAGATATGTTTTATTTCTCAGGATACATTTCTTTAATATAGGGTATATTTCTGATGATTGATTCCAAAAGTTCAGCTCAACTTGAGCCAAAATCCCTGACCCATGGTCTATTGTAACATTGATCCTGACTTCCTCACATCTATCACCTTCGCTCACGAACCAGTGGTCCTCTGGGCAGACTTAAACCACGTCTTGTTCTAGTCAGTGCCAGTTTCCGGTGAGTGAGAATCAGATTTAACAAGACAAAGACGCTCACAACAATAAGCAAGTGTCTAATGAGTGGACCTGTCTGTCTGGCTCGAGCTTATTGAAGCTTCATGGCAGGAGCTGTAGGAGTTGTTGTTTTTCTAACAATTTTGATTTGCTCTGCACATGTCTGAAACCCATGATGATGACAACACCGTGACCTTTGGGTGCTAACGATCACTTAGATTAGGAGCGAAACGTAAAAGAGAAGTATTGTTCTGTGCCATGACGTGCTTTTATCTCCGCAGTTCTTCCGCCGTGGACATCTGCTTTTACTTCCCACTCACGGAAATGTGTCTGAAGACAGATTCAGAAACAAAAGCGCTATGTTTGTCTTTGTGCGTGCAGCTCTCTAGAGGCCATTTTGAATAAATCTTTTTCATGTTACAGTTTAGACATCGTCTTAAATGGATTGAAACAACAGATTTTCTCAATCCAGCTCTGGACAAATGTCAGAGTGAATTGCTTTGAAAGACAAATGTGATGTCCATGTGGTTATGATCACTCTTTATATCAGTGTAATCCCACGTCGATTAGAAATCATGGCTGACACAGAGATGGGTGACACAATGTCAGGTCTCTGGTGATGGCTATCATGTTGAATATCATGTTTTCCTAGGGGAAAGATGTAAGCGTGTGCTTTAGATATGCTTAGTCTAAATCCAGCATGGGGGGGTGTCGGGTTTAATTCCTATGAGTGATTTTTCATCACACGCCCACACTCTCATCTGCCTTCTCTCCTTCCAGACCCTGGAGTCTCTGGACAGCGGGAAACCTTTCCTCCCCTCCATCTTTGTAGACCTTCAGGGAACCATTAAAACTTTTCGATATTTTGCTGGATGGGCAGATAAGATCCACGGTTCCACGATTCCGGCTGGTAAGCTAACTCTCATCCTGTCATTAAACTTTGAATTAGACAACATGTAAATTATGGGGAAGTTTTAGGGGGTTGGAGGTGGTCTGACCTCCCTAATTAAGGCCTGAAGCCACCCAACAAAGGGAAATCAAAACAAAAGGTTGGGGGTCTTAAAAGTGTATTCTGTTTACATATTCACAGACTATGTTTCAGCTTAGTTTTTCAGCATCTCAGCAACCAAGTTTGCCAGAACACAAAGTTTCACCTCACAGTAAACAGACGCTCACAAACACAAATAAGGATTTGACAGTGGGCCTCTAGAGCACTTTTTGTTTGGGTGTATTAAAGGGTGGAACATAGAAAGTATAAATATTGTAATTATTGTACACTTTATTTTGCATTTCCAAACATATTACTAAAATATTTTATATAAATATATATTTTTAATAATATTAATTAGGTTTGACTGTACTTTATATATACAATTGTGTTTATTTTAATGTATTTGAACATTCAAAAGTTTGAGGTTAGTAAGATATGTCTTGAAAGAAATTAATTTCTATTTTAAATAAATGCTAATTCTAAAATATATCACAGTTTCCACAAAAACAATGAGCGACACAACTGTTTTCAATATTTTTTTGAGCACCAAATCAGCATATTAGAATGATTTTTGAAGGATCCTGTGACTCTGAAGGATGGAGAAAAATTCTGCTTTGCCAACACCGGAATAAACTGCATTTTTAAATATATTAAAATAAAATTAAACATTTGAAATTTTAATAATATTTCACAATATTACAGTTTTTTACTGTATTTTTGATCAAATAATTGCAGCCCTGGTGAGCATAAAACATGTTTTAAAAATGAAATGACTAATTCCAAACCTTTATAGTGTATATTAGGCATTTAATTATAATTATATGTACCCAAATCGTGTAGTGTAAACTGTATGATTATGAATGCTGGTGAAACAACAATGTTCATTATGTCAACCCAGACCTTTAGGTATGGGCCCATCCTAGACATTTTAGGAAGTTTGACCTTGAGCAGAGAGAGCGCAGTTTTAAGCTGAGGTAGAGCTGTGTTTTCTCTGAGGCCTGCAGGAGATGTTGTGGGGTTATGGAGGTGCACTGAGGGTAAACAGACGAGGTCCCGTAACAGTTATAAATCTGAGTGCTAATGGCCGCCCTCCTGTGGAGCGCTGCCATCGGTGGAGCACAGTGACAGCTACGGGGCCGAGGGGCACTACGGGGCACGGGGGGGCACTGGGGGTCTGTTCTGGCTAATTTAGTTGTTTGAAAGGAACGCGGCAGGGAGCCTGGAGACTACGGGACAGCAGCAGACTTGCAGCTCTGATGTCACAGTGCAGCCATTAGTGTGCAAGTATGTGTGTGTGTGTGCGCGCGCGGGGGAGATTGTGGAGCCGGCCTTCAGGGCCCCCCTGTCGCATGGGCCACATGGGTTAGAGGGAAGCAAGAGAGGTGTCCGCCGTCGGGCGTCCGTGTAATTATTGTGCATTCCAACACTGTCTGTCGCCTCCGCTCACGCTGATTGGCTCGCGCACTAATATTTGCGCATGTACTGTCCTGTATGGTATCTAAAGCACACAATTCAGCCAATCTTGTATTTGATAATGTCTCCGTCATATTCACTCTCTCATCTTACACAAACAAGCACCCATGCTGCTGCATGCTGTTATGATACGATTTCACAGCAGGAGAAATAAAAATGAAGAATGGAGGGGGAAAGAACTGTAAATCCCCCCTGTCAGCGCTGGAGCTCAGCACTGGGCCTTTGTTGTGTTGCTAAACCAAACTTGCATAGTGGGAACTCAATGATTTGCTTTATTTCATTTCCAATCTCATCCGTAATAGAATTACTGCACAAACAAACAGAATGTGTGTTTTTGGCCTTCTCTTATCTGGCCACCAAGCGAGATGAATCGCTGGCATGCCTCTCGTCCAGATCCGTTCCGCCAACTGCATGTTTCCACAGCGAGGGATGGCGTGATTGCACTCTTTTCCATGTAGCCGTAAGACAAAAACAGGGTCTTTTGTAGACGGCCATATTATCTAAAGCTCTTTTGACTGAAAACTTTAGTCTACTGTCAGTAAAAATGGCAGAGAATATGATCCTTCTTACTGTATCTGCTGCTCTGACACCACTGATCAAATATCATTTATTTTCACATTTCAATTTCATTTCAGCGGTCTTAATTTATTGTCCAAGAATAAGTATAAAGTGCATTTGACACCATTTTACCCCATGCTGACTGATATTCTGTTTCCTTTTGTTCTTTCCGCCTCGCAGATGGGGAATATTTCACACTCACCAGGCATGAGCCTATTGGAGTGTGTGGACAGATCATTCCTGTGAGTTTTCCTTCATACAATTTGCTTGAAAATGATGCCATCTCCACAATCCTTAATGGGGAGTTAGTTGAACACCTTAGTAGGGATCTGACAGGTTTGTTGAGGTTTGGGTATAGTGGTTTAGTTTCTTCTTATTGTGAATGATCCATCTATGCAAATATTTTTGGACCTTGTAATTTTTTAGTAAAAAAGGTCATTTCGATCATTTGGTGAAAAGACAGAAGTCTCTCTGGTGATGTACTACAATCATTTAGCTCACTTAAAACCTTCCACTTTTAATCACTTGCAAGCTTGCTTTTAGATTTGCCTTCATCCAATTAACAATTGATTGTTACAAGTCCGTGCCATTTTCCCCCCTGTAATTTCATTCGGATGTACTGTATATCATAATACTGACGATAAGACCTGTCGCTATTTTCGTTAAATTGTGACTTTATTTCACAGGTCACTGAAAGTGTTGTTATCAGCCACTATATGGTTGGCTACAAACAGACTGGCAAAAGGAGACAATGGTCTATGCCAGGAAGGCAGAAAAAGGAACTGAGAAATAATGAAATAGAAAGGCAGGGCTGAGTGGGAGGTACACTTGAAGGACAGAAATAGAAACGAAGAAGTAAAACCAATAGATTGTGATGATAAAGTCAGTGCTTAGCACTCTAGACTTCATGACATGAGAAATGACAATGCACACCAAAGGCCAGATTTACTAAACAGGGCAAATTAGTGTGAGAGCGCTATTCCGGAAAAAACAGTTTGGAGTGGAAAGATCTGCATGTGATCTACTGAAGACTGAAGTGTAAATGAAAGAACACTGACACAGCCGGATCATTTCCATAATGACCAACACAATCTACCAAGAGAACCACAAATTAGCATCTGGTTTAAGACATGCTTAAGACATATTTAAGACCAGTAAACTGACTAGCGTAAACCTTAGTAAATCACATTGCATGATTTATTTAAATACTCTCCTAACGTAAATTTTGCATCTGAAAGGGAAACTCCTACAAATGCATATGCAATAAGGTCAACCAGAAAAATAACCACTGAAAAAATTTTCACTGCCTGTCATTAGTACATCCTGACAGTAGTTTTTTCACACCAAAAGAGGGTTTGAGGTGGCGCAAGCTGATAGTAAATCTGGCCTTAAATATTACAATCTGGTCCGTCTAGCAGGTCATTGAGCATTGTTGGAGAATGACAGACAAGGCTGAACTGATACAGATTGTGAAACTGTGTTTTAGAAACATTTGGTTTCCAAATGAGTGTGCAGTAGTCTGAAATCATTAGTGAAGTAGTTATAGTCAGAAGAAACAAAGATATGTGGTTGTCTGAATGAGCTCCCACAGTAAGTTCCTGACCTATGTCTGTACAGTGGAACTTCCCCCTGGTGATGACAGCATGGAAATTGGGGCCAGCGCTGAGCTGCGGGAACACTGTTATACTGAAACCTGCTGAGCAGACCCCTCTCACCTGCCTCTACATCGGTGCTCTGATCAAAGAGGTAAAGCAAAGTCATTTTACGATAAAACATTACGACATCTGTCAATCTATTCTGACCACATCACACTCATAATAAAGCAGTAAAATGATCAAAGTGATACAAAAGCAATATCAACACACATTCATGCAAATGAGTGATATTTCATCATTCGTTCCCCACTACACCCAGACCTTTGTTGTTCTGCCTCTCCTTTTCTCTGGGATTATGAGGCCTACTTTCTCCTCTTCCTTTTGATGTTCTGTCCATCCTCTCTTCCACATGGCCTGTAGGGAGGTTGGGGTGGGTCTGGATTCCCCCTCCACGGCCTGTGGTGTTCTTGGCTCAGCTCTCGTCTAAAGCTTTTTCCTCTCATACTGTTTTCACAGGCTGGGTTTCCACCGGGAGTCGTCAATATTTTGCCAGGCTACGGGCCAACCGCGGGAGCCGCGATCGCTTCGCACATGGGCATAGACAAAGTGGCGTTCACAGGATCGACTGAGGTAATTTTCCTATTGGACAATGGAAGAATCACTCCCTCTTCCATCATCCTTTTTTGCGCCAGTGTGACATCGGCCCTGTCCCAAATGTCATTCTTGATGTGGACATGTAGCCTTGTGGTCTTCATTTAGGCATCTGTGAAATCTTTTAAGACCATAGGATGTCACATTTGACATTGTAGGCATTTTAATCCATGTGGCAAAGTGTACAATTGACAAAGGTATTTGGGATCACTGGGATGAGCCCCAGCTCTGCAGTCAAGACCAGCAGAAAAAAAAGTGCAAAAATTGTACCTTTAGAGGTCCAACGACTAGTCGGACAGCATATACTCAATATTACAACAGCAGTAAACATACAATGTCATTAAATTCAACGTTTTCAAATTTTATTGAACAAACCGGGTCATCTGTAACTAAGAAGAGAATATAATATCCTATAACCTAATATAACAATCATTTATAGCTCAAAGTCTAAAATGAAAGCGTTTTGGTTTCACTTTGTGACGCAGTTTAAAATGCATTCAGTTTACGACCAAACCTCGACATTCAGAACAATAATATCAATAACAAAGGTGAAATATATACGAGAACTCACCCGTAATCATTTACGCACTTAAAAAAAGCATATGCATAGTTGAATAACAGACCAGCCGGCCTGATTTGTATCTCAGCTGCCGATTTTGCACATCCACACCTTGCTGATTTCTGTATAATACAAATCACTCAGGGGGCGTGGTTAGGGCTTTCTCACACTTAAAGGGTTAGTTCACCCAAAAATGAAAATTAAGTCATTAATTACTCACCCCCATGCTGTACCAACCCCGTAAGACCTTCGTTCATCTTCGGAACACAAATAAAGATATTTTTGATTGAATCTGAGAGCTGGATCACTCTTCCATAGGCTTCCTAAGGGACTGGCTCTTGACGGCCCATAAAGTCATTAAAGAAAAGGTTTAAATATTCCATGTGCCTACAGCGGCTCAATTATAAGTTTATCAAGCGACGAGACTACTTTTTGTGCGAAAAAAACATAAATAACGACTTTATTCCACTATTCCATACTTCCCGTCTACTTCTTGTTACCGGCTCCTCACCGCTTAGGAGTTTTACCGCCACCTACCGTATAAAATGATGATCCATATATAAGGCGCTCCGGATTACAAAGAACACTGTCGTTTTTTGAGAAGATTAAAGGCTTTTAAGTGCACCTTATAGTGCGGAAAATACGCTAATTGAAAAGCGCATGTACAGCGCGCATCTTCCTCTGCTTGTAAACAGAAAGTTTTGCGCTTCCAGCTATATCAGCACATCATCTTATACGGTAGGGGGCGGTAAAACTCCTAAGCGGTGAGCAGCCGGTAACAAGAAGTAGACGAATGAGAACGTCCTCGTCTCAGTTCTCGCGCATGCGCCCATAAGGAAGTAATGGAATAGTGGAATAAAGTCGTTATTTATGTTTTTTTCGCACAAAAAGTATTCTCGTCGCTTGATAAACTTATAATTGAGCCGCTGTAGGCACATGGAACATTTAAACATTTTCTTTAATGACTTTATGGGCCGTCAAGAGCCAGTCCCTTAGGCAGTCTATCTAGGACTGATCCAGCTCTCAGATTCAATCAAAAATATCTTTATTTGTGTTCCGAAGATGAACGAAGGTCTTACGGGGTTGGTACAGCATGGGGGTGAGTAATTAATGACTTAATTTTCATTTTTGGGTGAACTAACCCTTTAAAGGGACAACCTTGCACCTTATTTAACCCTAAAAGGTTCATAGTAGTACCAAGAGTACATATCATTAGGTACTGATATGAACAAAGTTAAAGTACAAAGTTGTCCATTTAGCCCACTCGTACTGCCCCATGGACAAGCTGTTGTACCCTTAAAGGTACAATTTTGAAGGCTTAGTGTGTTTATACTGCTGGTGAATATAATGAGAAGTCTAAGGAAGTTAAGTTTATAGGGGGACTCTCTGATCCCATGCTACACACGCTCTTACAGCAAGCAGTGCTTAGCGGACCACCTGGCTTTCTAAAATCATTTCTAATAAACAGGTTTTAGGTGGATGTGGAAGTGAGATGTTAATCCACAGGTGGTCGGTCATAAGCACGGAACAGAAACAAGAAATGGACACCAGGCCCATTACTTGATTTGTCTGGTTAATGCCGTGACAGTCTAGTTGGACACCTGAGTTCATTTACACTTTATAAGTGTCCTGTGCGTACTGTATAATGACTACACTTTCTATTGAGCTCTATGCATCAGACATTAGACAGTTACATTGTGGCCCCTACAGGAAGAATGACTCTTTGAAGCCAACTGTATAAATTTAATAGAAAGCCAGGGACTGAAAATAGGCACCATGTTAGGCACAGAGAATTTACTGCTTGAGAATAGGCCTCACTGACAGCGACATAACTCTGCTGTGACAGCGTATTTTAAACAGTGATTATTTCTAGCTACACTTGCCTCGCTGGTAAGAACCCTTAAGCCCTTTATTCAATTAGACGATCTCATAAATCGGAATATTTCAGTGTATGTTTTGATCTGTTCCTACACATGTTGCATGAGTTTTGTTATTAATTGAAGTAAATTTTGTGATGTTTAGAGTAGATAGAACTAAGGCTTGTTAGCTGGACCGGAAAAGTGAGTTTACATGCCCAGCAATAATAGAGTTACAGCTGGGGTTTTTTGCATAGTGGAGCTACAGTCTTCATCGATCTCTCCAATTATACATGAATATTTGCGTTGCAAATTACTACAGTGGTGAGGTCACTTGGTGTTCAATTAACGTGGATAACGTCATGTACACTTACATTTACATGTATTAATTTAGCTGACACTTTCATCCAAAGCGACTTACAATTGCTATATATGTCAGAGGTTGCACGCCTCTGGAGCAACTAGGAGTTAAGTGTCTTGCTCAGGGACACATTGGTGTCTCGCAGTGGATTCGAAGCCGGGTCTCTCGCACCAAAGGCATGTGTCTCATCCACTGCGCCATCTCCACACAATACTTTTTTCCAAAGTTAAGTCATCTTGGTCAGTATTTTTTATAAAGAATACTTTTTTTCAGCAAGGATGGATTCAATTGCTCAAAAGTAGCAGTAAATACATTTATAATGTTACAAAATGAAATATATTTAGAATAAATGGATAATAATCAAAGGATCCTGAAAAAAAGTATCCATTTCCACCAAATTATTAAGCAGCACTGTTTTCAACATTGATAATAATAAGAAATGTTTCTTGAGCACCAGAAAATCACAGGAATAAATTACATTTTAAAATAGATCATATTTAACAATATTACTGTTTAATTGTATTTTTTTAACAAATAAATGCAGCCTGGGTGAGCATAAGAACCTTTCAAAAATATTAAAAACTCTATTGAACAGTATTCAGTAGTGTAAATATACGTAGTGTTATCTTCATTGTTAAAGAAACAGAGAATGGTGTTTATGGGTCTGTGTATCATAGCACAAGACTTCTCTCACTGATAGGAGTACAAACAGAAGTGTTGTTTCCACAGAAAACAAACTAAGCTCGTGCCCTTGAAAAACACTTGTAGGGATGCAACAAAAGTTTTATTTTGTGGGAAATGAGAGTTAAGTCATTTCCCAGTTCTCTGCTATTTCGATGACTGCGATGACTATTTCTTTCATTTAGATCAAATTGTTATTGATAAAACAAGAATGTGATGACTGAGACTTGGAAAGAGCAAACAAAAGGCCACACAAATCCTCAAATGAGTGTAGCGTCACTGTGAAAACTTTACCAACCCACTCGACTTCACCCACACTTCCACTGACTGACTTTCAGAGGAAACTCATCACCATACACCCCACCCTCCCGCCCTTCCTCTTCACTGGCAGCGAAGTGAAGGTTTGGTTCCTCTCCTCGCGTCAGCACTGCTGCCGTGGCTGTCGCTGGGATCTAATCTGGACTTGATTAGACAGCCGAGATCTCTCATGCTGTGCGTGTGTGTGTACATACACAGACTCTGAGTCACTTCAGCTGTCTGTGTATAAGGGAGGACTGGACCAGGGGTGGGGGGGACAGGAGAGCATCTCCCTGAGGGAGTGGAGGATTCTGGTGTGTTATGACCAGCCCATTGCTGCTATTTGTGGAGTCTAGCCCCTTTGTGACAAGTGTAATGTAACGTGTAAAGTCTTAAATGAAGTACAGTATATTTCATTATATTTCTTATGTTTTATATGAATTAAAAATCACATTGAACCACATTGTAAAACTGTTTTATTATTATATACAAAATAATGGTCATAAATACGGTCAAACCAGGAGTAACTAACTAAACATAGCATCCGTAGTAACTTAATGGTTTTTAAGCAACACGTTTTTTCAGCGATTGGCGTTTCACCAGTTTGTGCAACCAAGTACTAAATCTTTTTTTTTTTTTTTTCTGTCTGAGCTGAGGAAATCACACTCAAATGTGGCATTGGAAAGTCAGATTCATTCTAATGAATTGAATAATCCAAAGCGATTCTTTCATTTATGTGACTTTGAAAAGAATGATACATTTCTAGTGAATCAGATTGTCCTAAGTGATTCTCTCCCTTATATGTGGCATTGGAAAGTCTCATTTATTCTAGTGAATCCGTTTGTTCAGATGAATCTTGTAAATGAGCTGATTTGAGTTCCTACATGGCAATTTAAATCAGTTTTTTTTTCACTTTTCCATCAGTCACATTATACTTTAGTGAATATTGTAGTTCAAGTTTGATGTTCATTCATCCATTTTTTTAAAATAAATTTATAATTTTAGTCAGTAAGTATACATTAAATTGATCAAAATTTACAGTAAAGACATTGCAAAAGATTTCTATTTCAAATTAAGGCTTTCATTTTTCGAACCTTCTCATTACTATGGTTATCTTTAGCCATCTATGGCTTTACTACAGTTTAACTACTTCAACTATCTTGTAGCTTGAAAAACTAGCTTCCCCAAAACTAACAAAAACACTCACATATGTATAGTATCAATGAGAAGTATGACGTCCGTCCATTTTTCCACTGAACGATAGTGTCAGAGGGAACGGAGGAAGATTGTTTTCCCTCCGTCTTCTCCCCTTCTCTTTCCGCTATCTGATGGAAAACAGATAGAGAAAATATTCACTGTCAGTAAGTGTGTTTTGCAGAAAGGAAAAATGTACAAATGTTTGTTTATGGTTAGGAGTGCTGCTTGGCAGCATCTAAAGCGCTGAGCTGGCTGTGAAGATTGAAAAGGTCTCTCTCTCTCTCTCTCACTCACTCACACACACACACACACACACACACACACATATACAGTTGGAAGAGAATAGTTTGATGTGAGCATAATATTCTCTGAGATGTGAAGCAACGCCACGGCCAGCAGCTGTGAGATGTCTGCTGAGCTTACAAGGGCCTGAACAGCATAAGATGAGAGCCAGTCCACCGCTAATGTGAAACTTTAAGGGAAGAGAAGTGTGAAATTCAGTTTGGATTTGAATCGATTGAGGGAAGAGCTGCAAACAACAGGGATACTAAAACAGTAGACTTCTGTTAAAAAGAAATGTGCTCCTTGAATTCTGAGAAACCAATAATCACACATACATATGTTTTCATTTATGCACTAACAAAGCCAACAAATGCATTTTAAAGGTCTTGTTTCACTGTTCTTTTGTGACCATCTTATACAAACCTGCAGTCAGCTTTTCCTGTTCTCAAATTGACCAACAGATACTGTTGCGTGTTGGACATTCCATTCTCTTTGGCTGTCACGTTAAGCACTAATAGATATTTAGGATGTGAGCCGAAGCTCAGGGGCCTGATAATGGAGCTGGTTGTCTTGTCAAAGGGAGCCTCCTCATACAGCAGGATTTATTAATGACAGCATCCCACTGATGTCGAGATTTAGGAAAGCTCTTCTGTGGTGTCCCAGTGATTAAAGCGGCTCTCCTCTCTCTCCACAGGTAGGCAAGCTGATCCAAGAAGCAGCAGGAAAGAGCAATCTGAAGAGAGTCACGCTAGAGCTCGGGGGAAAGAGTCCCAACATCATTTTTGCAGATGCTGATTGTAAGTATTCAGACACTGTTTTACGGCCGCCCTCCTGTTGTCCCGCTGCAACAGTTTGTGCACAGGTGCTACCCCAGAGACCTTCTCTCTGTCACTTCACATCAAAGACCCTTAGGGATCTTTTAGCGCTGCGTCAGGGCAAAAAAGCATATATTTCGGAAAGGCCCACATACATGCAAATAAGCTTATCTCACTTCCTAAACTTCTGGTCCTTAGTATCTCTAAGTATCCCACCAAACCTCGGCATAAGTCTGAGCTTTAAATGTTTTCAGCAGCCGTGAGCAAGGCCCCCCGTAAATCAGCCGAATGGACCCTGTCCGGACCCATCACACCACAGCCGTAAATCTGCCTGCTCCATTAACCCTTCAAAAGCCACAGCCTGCCAGTCCACCCTTTCCCCAGGTGTCCATTATCTCACACAGATGCACATACTCACATGTATGTATGCATAAACAGCAGACACACCAGAAGAACTATAATCTGTTAAAAAATTACTTTGAAAGACTTATTGAAATGTAGGAAATACAGACCCGATTTATTTATCGTCTGTTGTTTGGGCTGTTATTTAAATAAATTATTTATTGTTTAATAATGTGCTTTCTTTCTGTTTCAGTTGAGTTGGCAGTCGAACAGGCCCATCAGGGTGTTTTCTTCAACAACGGTCAATGCTGCACCGCTGGTTCCCGTATTTTTGTGGAGGAGCCCATTTATGATGAGTTTGTGCGAAGGAGTGTGAGAGAGCTCGGAGAAGGACACTGGGAAATCCCTTTGACCCAACCACTGAGCAGGGACCTCAGGTAAGACCCAATTCATTTCCTAAAACAATAAAAAAAAGAGAGAAAATATATAAATCATAATTTACTACTGTTCAAAAGTTTGGGGTCAGTATTTTTTTTTTTTTTTAAGAAATTTGAAATTTTATTCAGCAAGGATGCATTAAAATTGATCAAAAGTGTCATTAAAATGCATTTAGATGTTCAAAGATATCTATTTAAAATAAATGCCGGTGACATTTTTTTTTTTTAAATTTAAACAGCACAACTGTTTTCAGTATTGATAATAAGAGCATATATATATATATATATATATATATATATATGCATATCCATATACAGGGTTTGACATTGACACCCACCAACCTGTCAAATGCAGGTGGATTTCAGCTGTGGCGTGTAACACCAGCTACAGTTCCAGCCACTTTGGCGGATTTAATTTTGTATATCTACATTTTTCAGTTGTAGTCTTTTAAAAGGACCTCTGAAATAATAAACCAAGTGCATTGTAGTGTTATAAAAAATACAGATTTTCCGATACATATCGATACGGAAATATCGGAAACGCTCCCAATAGTAAATTGTAAATAGTCCCAATAATAAACTTATGCAAAATTATGAGATAATAGAAAAAATATATATATATGCCAGTTTTTCCCCATGGTATCGATATTAAAATTGTGGCCAGTGAAAATGCTGAGTAGCTAGTAACTTTGGAAAACCACTAACCACAGTGCCTTGTAAGCAAAAAAGTTAATGTCAAGCCCTGTATATGTGTGTGTGTGTGTGTGTGTGTATATATGGGGCTTCACATTAAATGTCAAACCCCAATTATATATATATTTTTTTATATATTTGTATATATATATATATATTTAGAAAGTGCATATACTGCAAAATCTGAGAGTTCCATCAGAATTTAAGCAAAAAGCTGTATATTGAACCATTAATAAACAGACAAGACAAAATATATATTATCTGCATAATCTAAGCAATTTATTATTTAAAAGTTTTTTGTTGCCTGTTACTAAATTTCCATATAACCACAGTAAAAAAAAAAAAGTTCATCTGTTTGACTGTGTCAGGTGAGTCTGGAGCAGCAGAGACGTGTTCTGGAGATGATTCAGTGCGGCATCACTGAGGGAGCCAAACTGGAGTGTGGCGGCAAAGCTCCTCCTTCTAAAGGCTTCTTTGTGGAGCCCACGGTCTTCTCCGATGTACAGGACCACATGCGCATTGCCAAGGAGGAGGTACGTTTTCTTTATCTCAGAATAATACCTCTAAATTCTAATGTCAAAGTATAATAATAATAATTTTTTATTGTAGATATTTGGGCCAGTTCAGCAGATCATGAAGTTTAAAACGATTGAAGAAGTGATCGAGAGAGCCAACGACACAGAATATGGTCTGGTAGCAGCAGTCTTCACCAGAGACATCAACAAGGCCATGACAGTCTCTGCAGCTGTGCAGGCCGGCACTGTCTGGTAAGAGTTATATCATATCACCACAAAATGGAAAGCAACACCATCCACTTGTTTTGTATGGGTCCCTGATATTATTGGGTTATACATTCACATTTACCTTTTGTTTGCTAAATTTTCATGGGTCATTTAAAGAGGAATTGTGTTTGGGAGGGCGAAAGATTTCTCTAATATGTGATCGCATCTTTAACCACGGAAGTTTTTTTTAAATAAATTCACAGAATGGAATGTAACATCATGAAATCACCAAGATTGTGAAATGTCTTTGTTGTACAGGATTAACTGTTATAATGCCCTGACATGCCAGTGTCCTTTTGGAGGATTCAAAATGTCCGGCAATGGTCGTGAACTGTAAGTGCATTTAAGGATATAAGGTAATAATCGTGTTTTCTATACATCCTTGTTTGCGCTGACACCGTTGTTCTCTTTTTTCCAGGGGTGAGATCGGACTGAAAGAGTACACAGAGGTGAAAACAATTACGATGAAGTTGTCAGGAAAGAACTCTTAAAGCACAAACATGTACGTTCCTAGCAGCGTGAAGAAGTCTTCCTCTGAGGTTAACCACTACCCTTTATCCTTCGGTTGTCTATAGTGGTAAAATGCCACACACAGTAACCACCCATCACTTCTGCATTGGAGCACCTGTTCTGCTGTTGTCATGAACTACCCTTCATCTTCATCCTTCGTCCACCACCGTCACCATTAACTGCCTACACCCATTCCAGCTGTGACCTCCCTTCGCCCGGCTCCACTAACCATACTAAAGCACTCGGAGTCCCGGTGAAGGAGGGCTACACATTAGGCCACTGCACCAGCAGCATGCAGACATTAACAGACTGTGACAGCTCTCTCTGATGATCTCCTATGTTAAGTGTTTTTATACACTGACTAAAAGGAGGTGTCATTCTCAAACCTCATTATTAACTTACCTTTCCACTGGGTAGAAATCAAGTAGGTATATTTGTTTTTTACTAAGACCACTGAAGCTCTCAGATAAAAGATGTTTTCGTTGAATGAGTATTAATTCTAAAATTTGTGTAATTGCTTTATGTGTTTATTTTTTCATTTTATTCTTTGATTGTTTTTACAATGTATAACTTTGTCGATGTCTTGACCAATGTAAGCAAAAATGATTTACCTCAAAAAAGAAAGCAGAAAATCAGTGGTGTGTATTTTTGACAAATGATTCCTCATTGATGCCCATTTATTGTTAGGTTTAAAGAATTATGTACTATAGAAGTTAAGATATAGAGATAATTTCTTCATTAAAATGTTTTACTCAAAGTATTCTCTTGAAGGTTATTTTCTAACCGCTTGTTACAGAATTACGTCTGGAAAAAGATGACAAGGGGGGGAAAAAAGACAATACCCGCCCAAAAATAGTTTCATTTTGTAAGATTTATGTTATTTCTGCCTCAGTTGTTGTATTTTTCAGATAACTGTGTATTCAGACTTGTGTCAACCAGGGTGAGAACAATCTGAGTCAGAGATTGTTTGGTAAGAGCTCTTTAGATATGAGCAGTACGTTCCAGATAAAAAATAAGCACCCAGTAGTGCTACTACATTAGAAGTCACATTCCCAAAGAAACATAGTCACAATGGATTTTCCCAGCACCATCTGTAGTCAGACCAACCCGAATGATGAAAAGACTTGGCTACATTACACAGCCTTGGTCTAGATCTCTGGAAGAGCAGAAAAGGGCAGCTCAGAGCTTTGAACTAGACCACAGAAAGACCACTACAGAGATAGTGGATCACATGGAAATGAGTCTGAACTGTTTCCTTATGAATTAGTGTGACAGCGTTTGAAGAACAAAAGTGGGTTGTTTCACCTCAAAGAGTGTTGCATGTTTTCATCAAGTGTGAACCAATCGACACAGGAAAGTGTTGGACGGTTGCAGGCGAAAAGCCTTACAAGGATTGTTTAATCCATTTGACGTTGTTGCACAATGGTGTCATCGACCCTTCCCTCCTTAGGAGTCTGTTGAATAGTATTTATAATTCTCTGGAGTCTCATATGATTACAGTGTACCAAGTTCACACCAATATTTTCTACGTGGCAGTAGTGTAAAACCGCTGCTCTTTAGTAAGGAAAACATGATAAATCAATAAATAGCGTTATTACAGACTTTATGTGTGATTCTTAAGGGTGTATTTTCGTTTTTATGACCCTGGTAGTGCATAGTGAATTCAAATGAATATTAACTTTCTCACAGCCTTACAAATTTATCTTTTTTTTTTTTCAATGTGAGAATGATCACTGCTCCTTTGGGGTCCTGATTTCAATCATCTTGGACTCTGTCCAAGGTAATGGTATCTATCATGATCAGAATTCCAATATCTCTCCTCAGAGACATACATTTATTAGATGAAACACTTATGGAGTCTGATAAGTATCATTCACTGATCATTAGCCTATGCTCTTTTAGAGGATTTATGATCAAAAAGATCCATATAACCTTCCCATCTACTGAACTAGAGGACGAATTAAACATTTGTGTATGTCTTAAATACGCCCTGGCATGTTTTTCCAATACAATTCATCTTCTCTAAATATCTATGGATTTTTCTACACTTTGCCAAATAGTTCATAAAACTAATGCGTGTCACATTTATAAATGCAGATGTTATAAAATGAGATTGCAACATTAGACGCTAGAATGTGTTCATTTGTCTTCATCAAGATAAGCGGTGAAAGCTAAACTGGTGGGAACCGGAGAACTGCAGCACACTTTACAAGCTCCTCCTCCAGAGGGAGACACTTTCTCCCCTTCTGCCAAATCTAAGAGATCAGTTGTAATCATACAGTAGTGTGTTTGGGCCACTTTAAAATCCCACTTTCAGTTTATTTCATTCCCTCAGGAAGGATAAATCCCTTATGAGAGCTCTTAAATTTCTCAATTGTTTCTCCTAGATATCAATGAGGTTAAATTTAATAGTGTTTAGATATCCCTCCTCTCTCCAGATAAAAAGACTTCAATAATCTCCTCAAGAGTTTCGGAAAAAAATCTCAACGTGCTCAATGGGCCGAGATAACAACGCGTGCAATCCAAAATCAGAGTGTGAACACAAACATTTGACATTATATTCTTTCAAGTACCAAATAGTATTAAATGTATAACCATATACAGAATTTCATTTTTTACTTTCTTTTCCCCTTAGTCATAACATAATCATCTGCCATTTCTAAACCCGTCTTCCCATTGTTGCGTGACCAATTAATAAGCAAGACAAAATGAAAGGGCAGTGAAAAAGAAAAGCACTTAAAGCATGTTGGGCTCTGGCCAGTTTCAGTTGGACCTCTGCTCCCTTAGTTGGGAGTTAGCTAGTTTCCTCTTTCCTCTGACATCACTCCTCAAGTCTCAAGCAACAATAATACGGCCCCAATTGCATGACATTATAGCTTCCTTACATGCACATGGGAGGGCCGGAGCTGAGGTCCCTCCTGACCGCAGACGTACTGCACTTAATTCCCAGCTAACCAGCTGCACAGCTGTTGCATGGGAGAAACACGAATGGATAAAGAGATTCCAGTCTGTTTCGGGGAGAAAAAGTTTCCTAACAGAGCACTTCCCATCTCTGTGCAGTCCATGTACCACTGTTAAAAATGCAGCGCAGCTGTGTTGTGGTCCCAAAGGCATATTTTAGACTAAAAGTACACTGTCGATAAGGGCACCTGCAATTAAAATCAGGAAGCAGATGTATTAATGACAATGGATTCACAGGCCAAACCATATTTTTAGTGCTTATGTTCGTATTTTTATTCATGAATTGTTAGCAGCATCTTACTCGTAAAACAAACTGTATTTTTATGAGAAAAATACTTGGAATTTGATACGCAACATTAAAACTAGATCACAAGTGTCTGAAATGCAATCACTAAAGATACGGCCAGATGAATTACAATCGTGTTTTTTGTTTTGTTTTGTTTGTTTAACAGAGCAATAAATCTACACCAGCCCAAAGCTCCCAAAGGAGTCTGGTACCTCAAAAATTAAGAACATTGATTTTTGAAATCAGGACTTTTCATTGCATTCTTTGATCTTAATTTGTTGTTTTAGCAAAATTTACAAATGCGAGCCAAATGCTAAAGCATGTGCCAATACATGCACAAACACAGAGTCAACAAAATGCACCTTGTGTGTGTGTGTTTGTCTTAATGTCGTCCAGATGTTCTTGGGGCACATGGAAACAGGTGATGATAGCATTAGCCTGGGATTGGACACAGATGGAAAGGGGCTTGAACCTATTCCTGTATCAACACCGGGATCGTAAATAATTCTTTTTCCCTCAGAATGATGAAAATGATTTCAAAGTGAATTATGCTCGGCCAACTCTCTGTGTTGTATAAACTCGCCATACCAAGGGTCCTCTCTCTGCGTTAGATCATCAGTCAAGAAAAACATATCATTCATGTCTTTCTTTGTCACATTCTCACTTTAAGGCTGAAAGATTGGCTGGTCCTTGAGGGACAATATTATCACATTTAGGGGGTCTGGTCTGAAAACAACATGACTGAGATTATCCTGCCAAGGTTTTGTATGACCATCCAGCCAGAACCTGCTCATATCCTATAGGCCTATATATAAGTATAAAAATAAGTATATTTTTAAAGTGACAGTAAAGAAATCTATAATCTTACCAAAGATTTCTGTTTCAAATAAATGCAGTTCTATTCATCAATGAGTAAAAGATAAGAAATGTTTCCTGAAAATAGTTTAATTGTAGTATGTCACAATATTACTGCCTTTACAGTGTTTTTTCAAACAAATAGCCTTGGTGAGCACAAGTGATTTCTTTTAAAACCCCCAAACTTGAATTTCTGATATAACCCTGTTTCATTCCAAACACAGCTCTTACCCTCTCTCTATAGTTCATGTCATGCTTGTAATATGAAGGATTGTTTCCAGTCTGGCCACGGTGGAAACAAGCTTTCTGCGTAGTTTTAAAACCAATCAATTATGATTGGATGGCTGGTGGGTCAGTCTGTTGGGACGAAGGAAAGAGCCACTACATGTGTCAAAGCATTGAGTGAGGATGGACATAAAGCAGAACAGAGAAATATGTCCAAACTCTGTAATTACACCTCTCAAGAGACAGGGATACTTGAGTGTATGAACAAGATCTGTCAAGATCTCTGAGCACGGTGTATTTGTACAAGTCACAGCCGATTGTGCAGTAACTCAAAACACCATTAAGGTTAATATAATTATCTTGTGCAAGAAGCATTATTGTTAGATTATCAAGGTGCTTTCAATTTCGCCCTCACAATCATAACTTGATATGGAGCGAAGCACATAAGTAAGAAAGACAGAGACTTCAGAGCTCATCAGTTCTATTGAAATGGGCAGTTCATGTAATTACTCTATCACGGCTTCCATGGGACCCTCCCCCATGTCACCTTAACGTTGAGCCCCCATCCTCACACCCCGCATGGGCAGATCAACAGCAGAACCCACCATGAAAGCACCCCAAATGGGGCAGCACAAAGTCTATGTGGCAACCATTTGGGAAGAGGGTCGTTCACTGTGATGGATGCATAAGAAAGCAACACGTTGTCCCAGCAAGGTGCCGCGGAGCTGCGCTCTACTTCAGCCACCTTTTAACCACCACATCACAGTGTGAAATGATTCATTTGCGTTGGCAGACGGCCGTATATCCATGGCAAGACAGAAATCCCTGTTCTAAATCTCACACCCACTGTTACATGTTTATGCAGCTGGATTGTTTTATTGGGCCAATTAAATGAAGTTGTGATAATTGAGCATAAGTATCAGGGTGGGGACCAGGGTCAGTCCAGCTGTCAACTGCTGGGCTCAATGAAATCCTAAACAAAGCTCTTTACACCTGTGCTCTTTAAATATTACAGCTGTGTGACGAAAAACAATAGGGAGGAATTACCCGAAGAGAAAGCAAATGTTGGTTTTGAGTCATAGATGGTATAACCAGTTCTGGGCTCTTTGAAGACACCCTACATTGGCAGGGAAGGCGCTTCAGTAATTTTGCGTTCAGGGGCATGAAAGCATCAACTCATTTCCTGCACATCTCATCCTGATCATATCCCAGCAAAGCCCATGACTCACCCTGCAAAGGACGCAAAAGTGGTGTTTGTTTGGAGCTCGGCAGGCCAAGGGATCTCCCAGCGGAGCACAGAAAACTCACACAGCTGCCTGAAAGCTCACTAATTGCGTTTCCGTCCCCCTGTGATAGCAACCATATAGCAGACTTTTGAGCATTTCCACACCGTCACAAAGATCATTATGAATTCAGCATTCTTGTTAAAATAC